CTGGCATGTGGTGCTGGGGGATTGAACCGCGGTCCCTGTGCTTTGCTAAGCTTGTTCTAAGTAGGTGCTTTAGACCACTGAGCCATCTCACCAGCCTGAAAAGAACTTAATTTAGTAAAAGATTTAACTCATGTGCCCAACGAACACCTGACACCCAAAATGACCACAGTCCTACTACCCCACGAGGAAACAGTTCCTAAAGCTATGGAGAAAGTAATAGTTAAGCCGTAGCAGACTGTGGCCATGGTCACTCTACTTTAAGGGAACTGCCAAGAGGTCCTACATGCACACAAAAGCTTCATGAACACACACTGCGGCACACCAGCCAAATTCCCCAGTGCCTTAGGAAGTTGTCAAAGCACTGAATAATTTAGACACACTGGAATCTCCTGCTTTGGGATCTAAGGAAGCACCTGGGCCAATGAGCAGGGTGCCAGTGCTAGTGTATGAATGGACAAACACAACACAGTCCATCCAGTCATGGAATATCCTTCAACCAAAAAAGGAGTAAGATACACTCATGAACTGTAAGGACATAAGAAATGAGAGAAGCCAGACACAAAGGGCCACAGACTGCTGCCATCAACCGGCAAAGTCCAGAAGGGGGAATCCAGACAAAGAAGGCAGTAGGTCATGGGTGAGGAGGGGAATCAGGGGTAGCTGCTCACCGCTAGGGAGTTTGGTGGCGTGATAAAATTGCTTTGGAATGAGCAATGGACACTGAACTGGCTTTAATAGTATGTAAATAAAATTAAGAAGAAATTCAGTGTAAGAAAAGTCTCCATTAGAAAAAAATCCAGCCAATTACAGTGGTACCTCTGTTCATAACTTCTTTCCATGATTCTGATCACAGAATTCGTTTTACTAGAATTGTGGAAATTTGTGAACTGAGATGCCACTCCACTGATAGGGTAATTAATTAATTAATTAATTAATTAATGATGGAAACAGAAATCTGGGTGCAGTACTGTGTAAAGTACGTTATTCTTATTGTTTAAAAAAATACATATATAGGCTGGGGAGATAGCTCGGTAGAATAAGTGCTTGCCTGGCAAGTGCAAGGTCCTGAGTTCAATCCGCAGTACCGCAAAAACAAACAAACAAAAAATAAATAAATAAAAAGTAAAGCTAAAAAACATTCAGTTAAAAAAAATACATATATAAACTTTGAACTGCCAACACAAAAAGAGAAAGGTGTCTGGAAATATAGCTCAGCTCAAAAGCCTTGGATTTAATCCCAGTGGGGGGTGGGGCTGGGGTTAAAACTGGGAGATTTTTTTTTTTGCATGCTCAGTCAGAATGCCTTCAGGGCAGGTTTGGCTGGCTCGAGTTCTGGAGATCGAACCACAGCAACCTGAGCTGACCGATTGTTTAAGCAGGCTCTTAAAGAACTGAGCTAAGGGGCAGGCCCCCAAAACCGGGAGATTTTTTTCACTGAGAAAAGATGCCGTCCTGGGGCTGGCAAAATAGCTCAACAGATTAAGCACCTGCTTAGGCAAGCGCAGGGACTGGGGTTCAATCCCCTGTACCACATCCCCCCTGCCCCTGCCAGCCGCTTATTCTGGGCATGGTAGCACATGTCTGTAATCCTAGTGCTGAGGAGGCTGAAAAAAGGAGGATCACTACAAATCTGAGCTGCATAGTGAGACCTGTACCAAATACATAAAAAAGGGGGGGGGAAAAAAAAAAAAAAAAGACTGTTTTCCTAACTAGAATATGTAAACACCTCTCAATGCTACCAGCTAACTGCTCTCAGTAGCAGGTGGGTCTGAAAATAACCCACAAACTTCAACAAAAAATACCCATTAACATCTTCCAAACAAAACAGCTAGTTTAGAACCAATTTAAAAAAAAAAAAAAAAAAAAAATGGGCTGGCTAAATAGCTCATTGGATTAAAACACCTGCTTAAGCAGACAGATGCAAGGCCTGGGAGTTCAATCCCCGGGCCTGCCCATAGGGCGCAATAAGATGGCAATTGGGACTGCGCATCCCTCCCAGCACTTGGGAGGCTGTAAACAGGAGGATCACTATGAGTCTGATCTATGTAGTGAGACCCTGCAGATCCTGCCCTAAATAAAAAACCGAACAAAACAAAACAAACCCTACTCTCACTGGCACCCACTTACCTGGGTGCCTTTCGGAGTCCTGTCTACTTTAACACACAAGTAATCTCCATTTTTCTGCCAGTGCAGCTTGCAATCCACCACATTGAAGAGATTTCTCACTCTGATTTCTTGTCTGCTAGGAAGCTGCATCAGGGTCACCCTGGCTGGAATATCCTTGTCTTCCGGCACCCAAAAGGCTATTATGTTACCACCAGGAGACCAAGAAAAGTCTCTGCAGGACAAAGAAATAAAATGTCACCCAAAGACTGAGTATAAAACTGAAAAATGTGAGAACGGAACTCATTCACTGTATAAATGCTCCACGTGGGCACTGACCCTGTGGAGGAGAGGAGAGCCAGCCATACAAGGGCCCTGTTCCTAGCATTCTGCCTGCAGCACAGCTGTCCTCATGACTCTGGGACACAGCCACATCACTTTAACAGGGAGGCAATGAAGACAGGTGTTATTAACCCAGCTCACTGTTGCATGGAAGACTGACCCCACCCTGCACCACCACACACTCTGCCGTAAGACAGATTTCAGGCTGATGAGCCAGGTACAGTGGAGCAGGCCTATAATCTCAGCACCTAGGAGGGAGGGGGATCACACTGAGTTTGAGACTGGCCTGAGGCTGATGGATCTAGCTGTATTATATAAAGATTAATTAAGAAGTTGAGTGGAAAAAACAAGAAGCAGCAGCTGAATGTGATGGCACACACTATAATTCCAGCGCTTGGGAGGCTGGGCAGAAGCATCACAGCAAGTGTGAGTCAGCCTAGGCCAATGAGTTCAAGGACAGCCCAATGACAGAGTGGGACCCACCTCAACACCAACCCCTCAAAAAAATTAAAGTAAAAATTAACTTTTTACTGAGAGTTAATATCCTGATTTTGGTTTTAAATTCAAATTGTACCAAAAAATGTAAGAGCAAAAAGATTAAGACACATTAGTGTACTTGGACTGCTGGCACTTCACTGCTGCAAGACTGACCAATCCCAGCAGCCTTTGGATAAAAACACACCCACTCGATACCAAGAATGAGCTACAACTCACTGATGCTTACCAGCCACCCACAGATCATCCAAGCCATCCAGAGAGACCCTTTTGCCCAGATACTTCCTTAAAGGTCCTGTAACCCTTCTCTAGGTCAAAGACAGATATAGCCTGAGACTCTAAGACCTAAAAAAGTAAGTATGCCAAAGAAGTGGAAATGCTGCGACCATGAGGAGTGGCAGTAGGGGGAGCCAACTGTGCCATCTCTGGGTTATCACAAAAGGTGATGTTTCTTTCCAGCTGTCTCACAGCTGAGTGGTAAATGAAGAGCAAATAAAACCACTGCAATGGATCAAGTACGTGTGCCTCCAAAATTTACATGCTTACATGCTATTCACCAAGATAATGGCATTAGATGGGGCCTTTGGGAGATAATTTGGTCAAAAGAGAGGGACTCCAGTGAGGAGCTTAGTGTCCTTATATTATAAAGTCTCCAGAAGGCTGCCCCTTCCAACAGCTGAGATTACAGAGAAGCCCATCTCTGAGGAACCCTTCACCAGATACAGAGGCTGCAGGCGCCAAAGCTCTGATTTCCAGCCCCTAAGTGGAAAGGAAGAGACATCTTGCTATACAAAGCCACCCACATTGGTGTTTTGTTATAGTACCCAAAACATAGACAACAACAGAAATGTTCACTTACTTTATTCCAGATATCTTCAAACTTTTCTTGTCCAAAAGACCCATAGACTGTCCAAAAGAAAGAGGATTATAGTTGAGTGTACAGTGTGCCAATGTTTTAATTGTACATAGTGTTTAAAAAAAACTTATAGCATCAGAGACTGAACCCAGAGATGCTCTACCACTGGACCACATCCCAAAGCCTTTTCTTTGCTTTGATACACAGCCACGCTAAACTGCCCAGGACATCCTCAAATTTGTAATCCTCATGCAAATGTCTCCTGAGTAACTGGGGTTATATATGTGTACTACTACACCCAGTTATAATCAAGTAATTTTTTTTTTTAAGTTAATGCTGCAAGTTTGCCTGGGAGCAGTGTTAAGCATCCAGGGCAACAGGTGATCTGTAAAACAATTTACCCCAGCAGTAAAATGTACACTTCCAAGCCATTTTATCAATCCCTAACCTTAATTCCTATAGCAGCACACAGCAGGGTAGGCACAATGCAGCTCAACCCTGCACTGAAAGCCAGAGCAGCATAGGAAGTGCGCTCTGTCCTGCACGCACTGAGCTGTATCTTCTCTTCACTGTACCTCAAATCAAAGAGCAACGCAACATTCTCTAGCACATGCACTGCTGGCTATGAGACTAGCTTGTCCAATCACTAAAATCACTCACAGGAGTTTCATAGATGCTAAGGGTGTCCATTGTCATTCTTGCAAAAAACTTGCCATCATGGCTCCACCTACGAAGAAAAAAAAGAAGTTCCAGGATATAACAATGAAAAAAGAAAATGTACGAAGAGTCCACTGCTAGGGTCTACTCACTTGAAAATAGGCCAGTGGGCTGAGCTCTCACAGTGAAAACCTCTCTTCTTATGCCCAGTAAGGATGTCCCAGATGATTATGGCCTGAGGGTCATCCTGAGTGTCCATCAGGGGGCTAAAGGTCACCAGGTATCTGTAAGAGGGACTCACTTAGCATAACCTCATAACACCAAGCCCTGTATATACAGTATTCATTTTTTCTCTGCATGCCTGAGGTAAGATTTGTAAATAAGGCAAGGTAAGAAATCAATGATAAAGTAGAACAATTCTACCAACATACTGTAATAAAAGTTAAATGAAGTGAGGCATGGTAGTGCATGCCTACAACCCCAGCGCTCAGGAGGTTGAAGCAAGAGGACTGCTGCAAGTTTGAGGCCAACCTGGGTTACATAGTAAGTTCAAGGCCAGTTTAAGCTATATAGAAGATCCCATCTTAAAAAATAAAACAGTAAAATAAAATAAAAATCACGTGAATGTGGTCTTGCTCTTAAGTCATGACATATCAACATTCTTGTGCTGTGGCTGATGTAGGTCCTGAAGCCTAAGAACGTGACAGGCAGTAAGGGAACTGGAGCACTCCCAAAAGGCTTAAGGAAAAACGCTGACACAGGTGTTTGACAAAGTAACAATAGACCCAATAAAATGTTAAGTGGAGAATTCCAACAGAGAAAGCATGAAAGGTTCTTCCTACAATTTTTCAATCACATTTGAATTAACCATAAAATACAAAGGTTTAAATATAATCTATACAGAAGCCTGGGATGAACTGCCCACCTCTCACAAGGCGAGAAGTCGATGAGCTGAACGCCTTGGTGGCTGAACCTCTGGATCTGCTTGAATTTCTCTCCCCCCCAAAGAGCGATGCCTCGCTGATGAAAGGTGGCCAGGTAGGTGCCCTTGGGAGACCAACGCACATATGTCTCTGTCCACCTCTGCAGAAAAGGAAGGTCAGCATGAATACAAGAAAGTCAGACACAGAGGCCCTTCCTTCTACAGTGAATCTACTTTTCATTTTTCAGAAATTATTTCAGAGCTGGGAAAAGAATAAAAGTTGCTCTCAGAAACTCCAGAGAAATGTTGTTCCTACTGTTTGACTAGCTTCTGAAATAGTTTTTCTCCTTTAAGGAAATACAAAAGAAGTCAGTGTCGCATGCAACAAATACACACCGCTCTTTCTTCAATTGAGACAGGATCCTTCACATCATTCCAGAATATGGAAGTCCGGTCTCCACTCTCAAAAATCACACTGTATTGATCTCTACATTCTGCCTCTTCCAGCCAGTAACGTAAATTTCCCTAAAAAGAACCGAAAGCAAGGGATTTAGTAACAGAGAAAACAGCCACAGCTACAGCTTTTAGATGACAAAATTTGGTGAGCATCTTTTTACTCCCAGCCACTCACGATCTCAAGATAGGTAGCATTTCTATTAACTACTTATATACAGACTACATGCAACTTACCAGGTCTTTGAAAGGCTGTTTTTCTGGAATATCCCATTCGTCACTGATGGTCATGTACCTGGAAGACAGTGGACAACTGCTGAGCAACACTAACCAGTGGTCAAAGCACAATGTTAATAATCAACGGTGCCATACCCAGGCAGGCCCTCCCCTCCCTCACCGATAGAGAAACAAGGCAGAGTGTTCAGCTGGTCTAAGAAACAGTGAGAAGTCTGCTGGTCAGGAGCCTGGGGCACATGTGAAAGTGCTGCTTTTGCCTGACACTCTTGAAAAGCCACCAACACCCACTGAGAAGCAATGAACCACCCGCCTGTGTCAGCGCTCACACACCAGGTCAAGTCTGAACTCACTTGTCAAAATCGGTGAAGAGGTTCACTCGGAACGTGTGCTGCTTGTCGAGCTTGTAGCCATCAGCATTTTTCACAGCATCCACAGCATGGGCAGGAGATGCATATTCCAGGAAGATATATCTGAAATGAGGAAGCAGGCACTGTACATGCATGCAGGATATCATGCCAGGCAGGCCACACTCTGTACACCAGAGACCTTGTCCTATAAGTATCTTACAACCATGGCTTTAAGGCAGTCAAACTGAGTAACTGTACAATCCACAGGCCAAGCAGCTTCCAACAAGAATGACATCCTAAATTGGGAGATCCAAAGTATCTAATTTCATAAAAGAGAGGTTAAAAAAGTATGAGCTTTTTTGTTGGTACTGGGGATCAAACCAGAGCCTCTACTCTGAGTTGTATCTTTAATCTTTTTTTATTTTTTGAGATAATATCTCATCAAGTTGCTTTAGCCTGGGCTTGTACTTATGGCACCCCTGCCTCAGCCTCTCAAACTGCTAGGATTTTAAAGCTCCATCACTTGAAAACATGTACTGCTCTGACTGGATGAATTCATGATATTTAAGTATGTCAAAACTTAGCAACTTGTATACATTAAATTATGCAAGTTTATTGGCTATCAATTACCTCTTAAGGCTTTTATAAGTAGTTCACTATTATTTGGGCATGGTGGTACACACCTGTAGTCCCAGCACTTGGATAGGCTGAGGCAGGGGGATTGCTCTGACTCTAAGGCCAGACTGGGCTACAATAGTGAGTTCAAAGCCAGTTGAGCTACATAGCAAGACCCTAACTCAAAAAACAAGAAAAAGCGAATTTAAGCTGAGGGTGTATGTAGCTCAGTGGCAGAGTGTTTGCCTAGCATGCAGGAGGCTTGGGTTCAGTCTCTTGCACCATCAAAAACCAAAAACCCACCAAACAAAAGCTGAACATGATCATTCTCACGTTCCCACAAGACCACTCTGGTGTGCTCAGGGTCTAAAGGGACTGGGAAGCAGCAAAGCAACTTCCGTCAATGGCCAGCAGCAGCTACTCAGACCTGTGTTGCACTGGCCAGGTCACAAAGGGCAGGCACAGCACACAGCTCAGCAATCTTGCTCCTGAACACGACAAGAAAGCTCTCACACTTGCACAGGACATGGATACATGACTGTGTAGGTGTCCATCAAGAAAGTGGACACTTCACAGATAACAACAGAACACTACAGCATTCACAATGGATCAAGGAAGGCTGGGGTTGTAGCTCAGTGGTAGTGTGCTTGGCCAAGGATGTGAAAGCCTTGTTTGATCCCCAGAACTGCAAAATGTGAAAAATAAAAATAGAATGAAGCTGGCACATGCCATTAATCCCAGCACACTGGGAGGCTGAGGCAGGAAGGCCACAAGTTTTAAGCCTAGCCTACAAACTCAGTGAGACCCCGTCTTAAAATATAAAAAATTTTAGGATTGGGGATGTAGCTCACTGTGAAGGCCCTGGGATTAATCTGCAGTATCACCACCACCAAAAAAAGAAAAAGGAACATAGCAGAATAAAATTTATCAACATGACCTCATTTTTAAGAGAAGAGGCAAACCTCAGGTCACATACCTAAGTTACAATTTTTAAGAAACACCACTATTTCAGGAAATACTAAGAGCTGCTAATTGAGTGGTGACACAACACTTTCCCTTAAACTGTAAGATGCCTTTCCACTTTAGAGATACTCAGATATGAGGGAAAAGGTCAAAATAAAATTCTATGTGAAGGGCTGAGGAGATAGCTCAGTGGTCTAAGCTCCTGCCTGACAAACACAAGGACCCAGGTTCAATCCCCAGAACCACACATGCAATGCTGGCCCTGGAACTCTGATGCACGCCACCAAAACCGGGCATGGTGGAGCATGCCTGTAATCCCAGTGCTGGGGAGGCTGGGACAGGAGGATCACTAGGAGTCTAAGCTGCATAGCGAGATCATATACGAAACAAACAAATAAAAGATAAAAAAAAAAAAATTCTATGTGCAAAATTTTCTTAAAATTCCACCAGCCTCCAGACCAGACCTAACCTTTTACCCAGTATATATCCAAGTTGTCACTTACTATTCGGAGGGTAAAATTGAGAATCAAGTCTTGACTCTTCACAAGTCAGCAACCAACTCACACTGCAACAAAAGAGCTATCCTGTGTTCTACTCCAGTACTACTAGGACCCCAGGACCCAAATCTCAGCTTCCGGCACCTGAATCAACAACCTTACCACAGTAAAGCACGGGTATACAGCAGAGTCCCACAAAGGGTGAGCACCACCAAAACACAAACGCTACTTCAGTAACAAGCAAACTCACCCTTTTGTCTTTCCGTCCTCTTCAGGATAATAATCATTTGTGATTTTACCAAATTTGGAAAAGATCTTGTGGATGACATTTTTGAGTTTCTCAAGTCGGTCAGGTCCCACCTGAGGAACATTGTCCACTACAATCACCGAATCAATCCCATCTGCTTCCTGAGGCCGATCTTTGAGTATATCGCCAAGCAATTCTGTATGGGTGGAAGAATTGCCAAATGATCTTTAAAATACAAGCACACCAAGAAATAGCCGGGTGCGGTGGCACGGACCTGGAATCCCAGCAGCTGCGAATCTGAGGCAGAAGGATTGCTTCAAGTGTGAGGCCAGCCGGGGCTACACTGCCAGTGTAAGTCCAGCCTGGGCTACATAGTGTGACCTGATTCAAGCCCTTAGCCAAAAAAACAAACCAACAAAAATCACACTCATACCTTAGCTTGGTACACTGAACAAACGTCCAGGAAGCAAAGCATGAATGATCTAATCTGCTTTTATTGTGATGGACTGAATATTAGTACAAGTCAGCACTCCAGGATTTCAGATCCAACTTGAACCACTTAGCAAATCATCTTTTAGCATACTGAGACACATCACTTTGGAAGCCCCAAATTGGTTAGGTGTTGTACATAAGAAAGCAAATGTGTCATTTCTACTGTATTCAAAATATCAAGGTAAGAACACTAAAAGTAGAAGACTATGGCACATCTCTATAATCCCAGCAATTTGGGAGGTTTAAGCATGAGGATCATGAGTTCAAGGCAGGCCTGGGCAACCGCAAAATTAAATAAACTACAAGAATACATCAAGTTGGGCCGGGGAAGATAGCTCAGTAGAATAAGCGCTTGGGGCTGGGAGATGGCTCAACAGAATAAGTGCTTCCTTGGCAAGTGTAGGGTTCTGAGTTCAATCCCTGGTACCGCAAAAATAAAATAAATAAAATAAATTTTCTGAGTAGAATAAGAGCTTGCCTGGCAAGCACAAGGACTGAAGCTCAACCCCCGGTTCTGCAAATAAATAAATAATAATAAATGAATAAAATAAAAGAATACATTAGTTTCTAGGGCTGGCCAAATAGCTCAGCAGATTAAAGCACCTGCTTAGACAGAGCAGGGGCTGGGAGTTGATCCCCAGGCCTGCCTGCTGGCCTCGCCCTCGGGGCATGCTAAGAGGGCAACTGAGACTGGGGATTAAGACTGGGTGTGGTTGCGCTTGCCTGTAATCCCAGGACCAGAGAGGAGGTAAACAGGAGGAGCACTATGTGTCCAATCTAGGCAGTGAGACTCTGGGCACCCTGTCCTAAAATTAAACAAAACAAAACCCAAAAAACATACTTAAGTTTCTAAGCATGTAATTAATAGCATTTTTTTTCTTTTTCTTAGTGACACACAAAATTATGAAGCATCTTCTAGGCCACGATGGCATATCCTTTAATCCAGGCACTCAGGAGACTGAGGCAAGAAGATCACTGAATTCAAGACCAACATGGGCTACACAGTGAGTTCAAAGCAACCTGAACTACAAAGGCAGATTTAAAAAAAAAAAAAAAAAGATGTATCCTGCAAATGTTTGTGTCTTGGACTTTGAAATGCCAGAAAGGGCAGCAAGGAAGCATCAGACATCTGCAGACTAATATTAAATGTACAAATGCTTAGGACAGTGCTTAGAAGACAGTACGTGTTCACTTTCCATGTGTTCCACATGTTAAATAATACACTTACAAATGCAAAATGTGCTCCATTCATGCCACCTGCTTTTAAAGCCCAAAACTTGAGTGTTCAAAGTTCTTAAAATTGATTCATTTCCATAGAACAGCCAGCTTAAATACGAGAAACAGAAATCTGGTGTTAAAAAGAAAAACAGGAGAGAAAGAAACACAACAGGTCAGTGAGTCAAAGGCACTCTGCTATCATTCTCAGTCCCTACGAGGGACCAAGACGCTCCTCCAGCATCACTAGCAACACCTGACCACCTGCTGGAGGCATCCACGAGGGCAGCAAGACACCCAAATGAAATGAAGCAAATCCCCACATCCTAAGTATAATCCTGTGCACATCTTAAACGTGGGTAGCTTGTCTACAAAGTGTAAATGTGAGGATCTAGAGAAGAAAGGCATCTTTTACAGCTACCATCAAAGTGCACTCACCAAGTGAAACCACATCAGTACACACAGCCAAAATGATTACTCGGTAATTTTTACATAATCAAAAAAAAAAAAGTTGCTCCATGATTTCTTATTCTGGGAGCTAATTATCACTGTTTTTTATTATACGCTATAATTTCAACATGTTAAATGATATATCAGAATACACTTTATTAGTGGCTGAGCATGGTGGTGCACACCTCTAATTCCAGCAATCAGCAGTCTGAAGTAGGAAGATGGATGCAAGTTGGAGGCCAGCCTGAACTAGATGGTGAGACCCTGTCTCAAAAAACAAACAAAACAGACAAAAAGCAAGTTCAAAGGGAATTCTCTCCACTCTTGTATGTGTTTTACTTCGTTATTGTTGTTTATATTTTAAGTCATCTGTAACAAAAAATTAAAATGTTTTTCAACTTGGGCATAGTGGTACACACCTGAAATTCAAGCTACTGGGGTGGCTGAGGAGGGAAAACTACAAAATCAAGGCCTGTCCGGGCAAGGCAGTAAGACCCTGCCTCAAGAAAGGCGGTGAGGGGAAGGTGTCCTGGGATGTAGCTTAATGGTAGAGTGCTTACCTTAGCAGGGGCAGGCAGCACTGCTGTTTAAAAGGGGGAAATAGTTTCAAGCAGCAAGCTATCATAAACGATTCCTAATTAATTTTAACACTTCTATGAGTAATTAGATACCTTAAAAATAGCCACTGGGCTGGGGATATAGCTCAGTGAGAGAATATTTAGCATGTGCAAGGCTCTGGGTCCTCCCCAGCAACGTTTTCTCTCCCAAGTAACAGATACTTGATTATCAAAGATGTTAAAATTGAGATCAGGCAAACAGGAAAAAGCAAGGAATGGGGCAGGTCAAATTCACAGCAGTATATTTTGCTGAGTTTACACACCTATAATATTCAATAACGGAACTTAGAAAAAATGGGGCATACAGATGAATGTCCATTTTGTATCTGTGTATTCAAAGAGGTTGGGATAGATATATAGTTGCATTCTCTTAATGAATAGAATGATTTGTTCTAATGAAGTTTGTAAATAGGATCACAAGTCCGCATCTTGTACAGCAATTAACCACTAAGAAGAATATATGCAGTGTATTATTTGTTGAAACTGTCTCATTGCTGTTTATCAATAAAACTTTGAAAATAAATAAATAAATAAATAAATTCACAGCAGTGCCAGACACTACTTACATGCAGCTGCAGTGAAATCTCTGGGATACTTTTAAAAAGTGTTCAGCATACAATTAAATGGTCTATAAAACTGCATCTGAAACTCACAAAGCTTATACCATAAAAAGCTCAGCTTCTATACAAACTATGGACTCCTCCCACAAGCCCAGTCTACTCAGTCTATTGAAAAAAAAAAAGGTCCATAGCTAGGAAAGGACTAAAATAACTAAAATGGCTCCAAAAAATAATTTTTAAAACTAAACTGGAAAAATGGATCTGTACATACACAGTGAGCTAAAGAAGACATTTGAAGTTAAAATTCTTGGGCCAGCCAAATAGCTCAGTGGATTAAAGCGCAGGGGCTTGGGTTCAATCTCCAAACACTGGCAGTTGAGATTGGAAGTGGCGGCACATGCCTGTAATCCCAGCTCTTGGGAGGCTGTAAACAGGCGGATCACTATGAGTCCAATCTAGTAGTGAGACCCTGAACACCCTTCCCTAAAAATAAAAAAAAAATAAAAAAAGTTAAAATTCTTGATCACATATTTGTCAAGCCAAACAACAGGGGAATCTGAAATACTAAACAGAATGAATGAAAGGTACAAACTAAGGTGTGACTGTGGGACAGAACTCTTGTGTGAGGGGCCGGGGAGATAGCTCAGTAGAATAAGTGCTTGCCTGGCAAGCTCAAGGGCTTGAGTTCAATCCCCGGTTCCGCAAACAAACAAACAAACAAACAAACCCCAAAAAACTCTTGTGCGAGAGGGAAGACAAACTTCACACTGCTCTTCCTAAAATCCAGTCCATTTTGGAGAGTGATGCAGACCCTGCCTTACCTTCCCCAGGCCCCTCTTGATTGTACAGAGCACGCCACAACTACAAGAAGATTACAGAGTTCTAGTTCCTCAGGACCAGCTGTCTCTCCGTCACTCTGGCCAACAAGCATACATCAGGATCACTCTAGCAACCAGAGGTCACAATGATTTCATCCATCCTGGACACCCCTGCGTTTCAGGTTACCATTCCCTGACTATCAAGCACTGAGTTCTGGAACAATCCACATTATTATCTGTGAATTAGATGGGCTCAAAACAACACTTTAAAAAACCCTCAACTGAACTGTAGATAGCAGCAAACACCTATAATTCTAACAATCAAGGCTGAGCCAGAAGCATGGCCAGGTCAAGCGCAGCCTGGGCCAAATAGTGGCTTCACGGCCACCCCAAACTACACTGCAAAACCCCGTCTCAAAAAACAAAACAATACAACCAAGAGCACAGGGCATGACACTAGCCTGGGCTACACAGTGAGTTCAAGGTCAACCTGAACTACTTACTTACCACCAAGACCTTGTCTTAACTGAAAAACAAAATGCTCTTCAAATTACAAGGGTCCAACATCACACCCATTTTAAAACAGGATCTGTTCTTTTTTGGGGGACAGGGTCTCATTACATAGTCCAGGCGGGCCTTGAACTCATGGCACTAGTCCTGTCTCCATCTCCTGAGTGCTGGGATTACAGACAGGGGCCACTACACTCAGAAAAATTTGTTAACTTAAAATGTAAGAAAAATTGATGTGAAGAGACAACTGGTCTGGGCAGAAGACTAGTGTGAATCCCCAGCAACTTGCCCCACTTGAAGGGATAGACGCAGTTCTGCAAGGGTGAGAGGCACACAGCAGATGTTCAAGGTCTCATACTAAACTGTCTTTTATGAAATAATGCTAAGAATAGCTGGTAGCCCCCTAAAAATGAGCACCAAATTAATTCTATTGGTTCTCTAAACTTGATATCTCCACCGACTTCAATAGCTGTGTTCTTATCTCTCTCATTACGATATTTAGTCAAAACATACAAGAACTGCACGATGCAATTCCAGTTTAGAGAATTAAAACAGCTTTAAAAAAAAAAAAAAAAAAAAAGAAGCATCCTGCTAACCTGCTATCATCAGAAGTCATTTCGGCAAGGAAGCTCCCAGGCATGGAGCAGAAATAATGCCGTAAAACCACAGTTGGGGAAAAAGCTGCAGAACCACGATGCTAAAACCTGAAAAAGCAATCTACCAACATAAGGTGGTTTGCCCTACAAACCTACTAGGATAAAAAGAGAAGTAGATGGGACTTTGACAGTTATGCCTGGTACGACCCTTACTGAGACATTTCTGTGGAGCAGGGATGCAAAAGCACGACCTGCCAAGAGGTCCTGCCCAGCTATGCTCCCAGCTAGCTGCCTAACAAACCCCTCAGGTCACCCTGGAACGCACCCTGCTCTCTACCCCACTCCCGATGTGCGGTTGTGCTGCAGATAACTCGTTCCCGGAGTAATCTCTTCTGGGTCCCTCTTCCGAAAAAAACAGGACGCGTATACTCGCAGCACACCCACCCCACGCAGAAACGGCAGCAGCAAACAGAGGTCTCTCCCGCCCACAGCCACGCTCGACCCGCTCACCTTCCTCGCTCACGTCATCCACAAAGTCTTCGGGGTCGCTGAAGGAGGGCTCGTCTGCCTCGCCGTTCTCCACCGGGTGCTGGGCGGCCTCGGCCGCGCTGCCCTCGGGCCCGGCCGCCTCCTCGGTGCACTGCTCGCTGGCCTGTTCTCCCGAGGATCTGAACTCGGCCTGCAGCGCCCGGTCCTCAGTGGGCAGGGGCGGGGGCGATGCGGCAGGGCCGGGGGTCGCCTCCTCCGTCGGCTCAGCACTCACCTCTGGCCCAGCTGCCGCCTCTTCCTCGGCGTCCTCGCTCTGCGCCGATTCAGGCGCTCCGGGCCCAGCCGATTCCTCCTCCGGGGGTGGCTGAGTAGCCGGCTGCTGCCGTGCGGGCTCTGCCCGCTCGTCGGCCGCTTCGGGCGCCGCCACGTTCTCCGCGTCCTGCATGGGCCCGCGATCGTCTTCGCCCGGCTCCGCCGCGCGCTTCCGACTCCCAGACCGCCCCGCGCCGGCTAGCACCTAGCCATGTGCGTGCGCCTGGAGGTGCTGTACCAACTGCGGTGCAGGGAGGACCCCAAGCCCCGACTCTTCGCAAAACCACCGGAACAACTACATCGCACAGAAGTTTGTCTGCCACCAATTCCAACGATGTTTATGTGAGAAGAGAGTTCTCAGTTCCTACGAACAAAGTTGTTCTTGGCAGTCACTATACTCACGGGGAAACCGTTACTACCCCATTTCTTACAACAGATGGTTCTGTCCAACATGGTAGTCACAGCCTTCCTTCTCCCATCGGGCTATTCGGTGGAGGACGGGACTACTAAAAGCACCGGCAGATTCCAGAAATCTTTTAAAAATAGGAATCTGCATGAAGATATGATGTAACTAAAAAATCCGTACCATGTAAAATTGCACGCTCAACAAACTTCTCTACTTGGGCTAATTCATAGTCAGACTACCTGCTTAGTTTATCCCTAAATTCCCCCTTTCCGTTTCTGATTTTAGATGCGTCTACTGACGGGGCAAAAGATGGGACGATTCCAAACGACACAAGAAATTAGAGGCGAGCGAGAGACGTCCGACACAATTAGAAAGAGGACATCTCCGCTCTATACAAAAGCATAGGGAAGTGCTTTCATTCACTTAGACCATCCCCTCCCGCAACACCTGTAACTTGAGCACCGACCCCCCCGCCGAAGTTCCCCATGGTTTCGTCCGACGGAGGCCGCCGCCCTACTCCCAGGAAGTGGGTGAGGCGAGCGTCACGTGGATCGGGGCGCGAGAGTTAACCAGGGCAGCGTGGGATAGCTGAGAAGCACCGCGAGCTTTGGGAGGGGCGCTTGTGCTTGAGTCATTTCATTTTTAGTACTGGGCATTGCACGTTAAGGCTTTCATACTGAGCTGTAACCCAGCCCTTTTAAGAAATTATTTGGAGACCTGGGCCTCACTAAGTCGCCAAGATTCCCAGGCTAGGCTCGAATTTGGGATCCTCCAAACTCAGCCTCCTGGAGTCCCGGAATTACAGGCGTGCACTACCATGCCCGGCTTGTGTTTTGCTGAGCTCAAGAGTCGCTGTTGGTTTGTTTTAATATTACTATATTACAAGGGGCGTTAGGGGAGTTAGTGCTTAGGAGAGAAGCACAGATTCTGGCTGGGGAGGTCCAGAGCTCTGGAGGTGGCCTACGGGACAGCGGATGTCCCCCGTGGCTCCGCAGACTTAAAAATTAGGGTGGGGCTGGGAGTAGCCCGGATACTGGCGGGTGGTAAAGAGCATGTGGCTGAGATCCGGGGCTTCATCTCCAACACCAGAAAACGTAAACTAGTACCGAGAAATACAGGCGGATTACATGAGATCAGTAGGTAGTACTGCGAGGTGCAGCTGTCTGCCCTGCGTTGCTGGTCAGGGGTGGGGGGTGCGGGGGGACGGGGACGGGGAAGGACACGGACACTCCCCTCGTCGCTTTGAGGGCCGGAGGCTGCCCTATACAGCCGACTGCCACTGGCAGGTGAACAGGAGAAAGGTCAGATTTGAGAGGTACCCCGAGTTTCACAGGAAAGGGGAGTGAACCCAGTAGACCCCGGGAGAGACGCTCCTAGAGAGCGGGAGGAGACGACAAAGCAAAGATGGATGGGCCCTGGCCGAGGGAGTGCTGGTTTGTTCTTCGGAGTCCCTCCTGGCTTGCTTTCCCAGGGTTGAGGTAGCCCCCTGACGTCGATGTGTAGCCAGCCAGAAGCTCAGGACAGCCTCACTCCCTTGTCTTTATTTTGCTCCAAATAATAAGTGGGAGCAATGTGTTTGGTGTGGTGTTTCCTGAACTTTTCTGGAGTTGAGGTCTCTGCCCTCATAAGCTGCCACTCTGGAAAGACAGAGAAAATGAGGTGAAGAAAGGAGAGAATTGCAGTAGGACAGTGCTGACAACGGATAGTAGACTTTGTGCAGAGGAGCAGAAAGGGCTCCCAGGAGGAGGTGCGGTCCAGCGGGCCGAGACACTGATAAGGAGTCAGCAGCGGGAAAACTGCACAGGGCTGGAAGTGCCTTTCTGAACAGGAATGGAAAGTGCAGAGACCCTGGGGGCCTTGCAGACCTTGGTGAGGTTTGCTTTCAGTAGACTTTGGGAGGAGAAGGAGACTTTAAAAAAAGAATTAAGATGCCTTATATTGTAGTGGCAAGCAGAAACACCAAAATGACACCCAGCATTTGGATGCATATTTATTTAGGTCGACCAGCACTGATCTAGATAATTCCCAGAATATCAGGCCTGGATCTTGGTGGTCTAGGGCTTTTATGTAATGCATGGGCAGGAGGTACAAAGGCGAGATAGAACAACAGCCTGGCAGGTCTTCTGATTAGATAGCAGGATGAGAGCTTCCGTTACAACAGTAGATTGCTAATCATCAGTTTATGAAGCTTAGTACAGTGGTACAATCAGGCATTTTATATGTTTGGTTATACTTCTATGATTACAGAGGTCAAGAAAGTACGTATAGGGCTGGGGAGATGGCTCAGTAGGATAAGTGCTTGACTGGCAAACGCAAGGATCTGAGTTCAATCCCCGGTTCCACAAAAAAAAAAAAATAATTAATTAAAAAAAAAGTTAAAAAGATTTAAGCACTAAGAAAGTACGTACAAAGCCATGAAGTGGTTATAGAGCTAGGTAGTTTGAAAAAAAGGTTGGAGTTTTTTGGCTTTGTTTTTCTTTTAGTATCGGATTGAACTCAGGACACTGTACTTGCCAGGCAGGCATTTATGCCACTGAGCTATCTTCCTGGCCCTGAAAAGAACAAAGTTTTTAAATGAACAATTTTTCTTACATAGCTTTTCCCTTTGATTATACATGTACCAACTTCCCATGAGGAATGTGATCATTATGTACTCCAAACGTGCTAATAAAAATAAAAGAATTAGCAGTTGTTTTTTGTAGTGTTTGAGTCCAGCCATGGATTCCTTCCCAAATCAGCAAAAAGATGTTAAAAAAAAGAAAGAAAGAAAGAAAGAAAGGAAACGAAACACAAATTGAGAAGTAGCCAATGCCTATGATACCAGCATGTTAAGAAGCTGAAGCCAGAGGATTTCCAGTTAGAGGCCAGCCTGGGGTACATAGCAAGACCCTATCTCAAAACAACAGCTGAGTGTGGTGGTGCACACCTGTAATTCTGGCACGCGGGAGGCGGAGGCACAAGGATAGCCAAGAGTTGAAGGCCAGCTTGAATTACATTGCAAGACCCTGTCTCAAGAAAAAAAACAAAACAAAAAAAACGCATGTCAAAAGCAATGTCGCAAACTTTTTATGCAGTGCTGGGGATCAAACTCCAGACCTTGTACTTGCCAGGCAGGTGCTTATGCTGCTAAGCTATATCCCCAGCCCCTCAAGCCTCTTGACCTACAGTTGTGTTTTCCTGAATTCTGTGCTAGGGTCTGGGAACACTTTTTGAAACTATGCAGATAGACCACTGGGCTTCAGTCCATGTACCCTGAGGTGGCCCCCTCCTGGATCTGTTTTCTGTAACAAACTTTTCCCAAAGGTTAAGTTTGATGAGAATGAGAAAATAAACTATCTCCAGGGGTGAAATTGGGCAACTGTGGACTAACTGTACAGCTAAGATTCCTGAGAAAGTTGGCAGTTCTGACCTCAGCTATGTATGGGCACAGCTATAATGTAATGTCAGTGAGGCATAATGGACTCAGGAAGTTCCACCTGAACTTCCTGCTCTCCCCTACTGTTCACCTCTTAGTCCAGTGCTCTCCTGTAACCTTGATTTGTGAGGACCTCTAATGAAAACTCACCCTGTGAGGAAGAAACAATATAGGAGTAGAAACAAAGCTTTGTTTGGGGCTCTCAGGAGGAGAGACCCCCATAGAGATGCAAATAAAACTTCCCTTGCTCTTAAATTTCGTGTCTTGTCAGTTCTGTTGGGGATCCCATTCATCTTCCTGCTTCAAGAGGATCTATGATGAGCCTTCAGCCTAATCTTGGCTTATCCCCGAAAAATATGGCCCAGTCATTGAAATGCTGTGATGTTCAGCAGTGCTAGAGGAGTTGGGGTGGTTGTTCCATGTTGGGGGGGTCCTGGTAGAGTGGTCCTCCTACTCAACCCTGGTGACACTGCTGACTTCTCATCCCGTCTCCTCTTAGGGATTGGGGTTTTCTGGGGACTGACTCCAGGGCCTTGGAACAGAACTCTTTATCTCCAGCCTTTAAAACAGATTTTGTTTTGAGAAAGCATCTCCCTAAGTCTCCAAATTTCCCAGGCTGGATTCCAACTTGCTGGGATGACAGGTAGGTGACACTTTGCCATGTGAGTAAGAGCAGTGACATTGAGTGTACCAGCATCTGGAGGTAGAGTGCAGAGCCACCACCTATTTCCTGCTCATCAACAGAGTGACAGTTGAGTTGTCATTTTTGCAACATTGCCGTAAATCTGAATTATTCTATTTATTTATTTTGCATTTTAGGGAAGAGTCTATAGGGTGTTCATGGTCTCAGTACTAGATCAGACTCGTAGTGATCCACCTGTTTACAGCCTCCCAAGAGCTGGGATTACAGGTATGGCCACCACGCCCAGTCTCAATTGCTGTCAGCGTGCCCAGGGACTGGGCCTGCATGGCAGGCCTGAGGATTGAACCCCTAGCCCCTGCACCTGCTTGTGGGCACTTTAATCCACTGAGCTATTTGGCCAGCCCCTGAATTATTCTAAAGTCACAAATTCATTTAAGATACTTTGGAGACTTGAACAGATGTTTTTACATCCATCTGTATACAGATGTTTGTACACCTATTTGCCTTATGTTCTTGGTGGTATTATTCACAGTGAAAATAAAGAATGCAGGTGTTGAGGGAAAGATGAAGAGATACACAAAATGTGCAATATGCATACAATAGATTATTACTTAGCTTTAAAGAGGAATGAAATTCTGACCTGGACATGGTAGCACATGCCTGTGATTCCAGCACTCTGGGGGACTAAGGCGGAAAGATTATAAGTTTGAGCCTAGTCTGAGCAATTTAGCAAGATCCTCTCTTGAAATGAAAAATAAAGTGGGGCTGGATA